GTTTCTTCAGGTTTAAATGTGTAATAACGGTGGTTTATTAACTGTTTAATATCTGTGAAAGTGCACAAATGTGGGAAAATGAAACAAAGCTGCTGGACGTAACTTCTCGGGTTCCTCCAAAAAGTCCACTGAAAAAATCTCAGTAAATGACCACCATTTTACTGCGATTATATTTCATCCCATATCATCTCATTTCATTTAATTTCATCCCAGTTGATTAATGTTTCAAATTAATCATCTTCATTTCATTTCACTCCATATTATCATTTTTCATAAAATTAAGAATATAAGACATGACTTAAAGGTCTTAGTTACCAGGTCATAAAATCTCTTAAAAAAAAAAAAAACCTAGTTTTCCTACTTCATTGGTTGTGAAGAGAACAAAATATTTTATGTTTATTTACTTGTACGTTAAACAAGTGGAGCAGAGAAATGCAAATCAATAAATAAAAACAGGAAATTTCAAAATTAATGGATCTATATTAGCATATATACACACCATAATAGATATTATACAATTTTACATTTTAAAATGAATAGCTACGTTATAAATTCTTTCGTCGGCGAGGGCTCATTTGGACGTGTTTTTAAAGCAAAACACAAAGATACCGATGCTGTAGTAGCCTTAAAAGTGATAAGGAAGGTATTTATTAAGTTTTTATGACTTCAAATACTTGGTGCCTTCATGATTTCCTAATTTTTTTCTATAAATGTATACCATCAATACAAATAAATTACAAAAAAAACTTGCGAGTGCTTAATAAATCTTCATTTCCACTATTTCCAAAATAATATATGTAATAAGATCATTAATAAAGTGTGATAAAATAATAATTGTACACCCAACAGAAAATTTTAATAACCAGGTTTTCTTATTCACAAGTAAAATTGTAAATGGTCTTATTCAGTTATCATGATCCCAATGTCTTCGCTGTCATGGATATCATTGTCAAACCTCTTGTCATTCACCTTAGTTTATAAACAAATATTCTTACACAATAATTCAACATTTTCAGAAAGGTCGTTCGTCTAAAGACTTAAAATGTTTGAAGCAAGAATGCGACATACAGAGGCAATTGAATCATCCAAACATAATCCGAATGATAGACAGTTTCGACACTGATACAGAATTGGTAGTTGTCACAGAATATGCTGAGAAAGAACTACATGGAATATTGGCTAAAGAGGGTTGTCTTAATGAAGAACAAGTGAAGAAGATAACTTGGGACCTTGTGTCTGCACTGTACTACTTACATTCTCATAGAGTTTTACATAGGTAATAATATTATATCATTATTAATGTATATCATTATTATATCTAAACATTTTTTGGAACTTGGCAGGGGACATAGCTAGGTAAAACTAGTATAATTTATTCGTTTTTTGTTTTTTCTCTAAAGCCTGGCTTATGTAGAGACATTCATCTTATATCTCAATGTAGACGGTTATATTGATTGGTTCTGGATACTGAATCTATTAAGATTTATTTAAATAAAAAGATTAATTTGTAAAAAAATTGAGAGAAGGATAGAAAGTTATCGGTCTTATAGTTAATATTTAATTTGATCTGAGCTTTTAACGTTGAAATTGGATATTGAAGTAATTCTCATTGAATAAAATTGAGAAAGAAAATAATCATAGGAATATCTGTGATTCATTTATTATGATTTTATATTATTCCTGAACATTTATCATACAAAATAACAATTTTAGAGACCTCAAGCCACAAAATGTGCTATTGGATAGTACAGGACGTGCCAAACTCTGTGACTTTGGTCTTGCAAGAATAATGACAAATGCAACACACATTTTAACATCCATCAAAGGCACACCATTGTACATGGCCCCCGAGTTAATTGATGAGAAGCCATATGATCATCAGGTAATTATATTAAAATAGCATTATATAAACAAAGAGTTATACTGTAATTTTCTGTGGAGATGACATGTTTTTACCTATGTCTTCCGTCTGACCTAACTATTCTTAGTAAAACTATAATTAAAAAAAAAAAACTGGTCAATCTGTTGCTTTGTTTTGATGTGAAAGGGCATACAAATACACAATCTAATAACAAACACACTTTCACATTTATAATATTTGTATAGTGTGGAAGTATGGATACTTAGTATGCATGCTGTTCCATCAATGCAGCTATGCTATTATATTATATAGTAATGCTTTCAATTTTCAAAATTACATTAATTATTCTTAGTAAAACATTATTTATAACAATAATTGACATATTTTAGAGTACTTTTATTTTAATTTGTCCTTAGCCTAATTAATATAAATCAATAATTTCAGAGATTTTCCTGTACGTAATTAAAAAAAAAAACATGAATTTATGCTAATGATAGTTTATTCAACAATATTTTTATGTATGCATATATGGTAGGGTTTATATATTAATTAATCACTTTGCTATAAACAAAAGTGATTATATCGTTAAAACTTCATTTTATACAGATATTTCTGTCACTTTTTATGCACAAATATGCATCAAAACCTCATGGAATATTGTTATTAATCCTAAAGAGTTGCAAACATTTTTGTACATTACAGGGCTCCTTGTGGAAAATTTCAGCACCTATAACAACAGGAGTTAAAAAAAAATGCTATCACAATACTGACTAAATATCAATATAATAATTATCCAAATTGTTTTTTTTTAAGTATAATAATATGGGTGAATAAGCCACTTTGTGCTATGTGGTTACCTGAGCCCATAGATATCTCAATGTGTTTGAGCACACCTATTTTGAGACATTATATTGAGATCTCAATTGTATTTTTATTTTGTGTATTTTTTTCAGGCAGACTTATGGTCACTTGGCTGTATTGTATATGAGCTAATTGCTGGGCAACCACCTTTCTGTACAATGTCTATATGGCAACTTGTCCGCATGATTAGACACAAACCTGTACAGTGGCCTAGTTTCATCAGCACTAATGCTCGGACCTTCCTACAGGTTTGTTTGCTTTTGAGCTCTCACTTCAAGCTTTTAAAACTGCACAAATAATTTAACATTTTACGTTTAATTAAGTTATACTATTTGTACCATTAGTTTAATAGTATTAAAATATTTATTTAGGGCTTATTGCATAAAGATCCTTTGAAAAGAATGAGCTGGCCAGAAATATTGGAACATCCATTTGTAGCTGGTCACATTCTTATTCTACCAGAAGACGTCCAGAGTGAATCACCATTTACCAAGCCTTTAACACACAGTCAGCAAGAAGCCAAGCAATTGCAGCGGGAAAAAATATGCATTGGGAATGCAAGGTAATAAAAATTACTTACAGATATATCAGATTTGTAATTAATATCAGAGTTAAAATTAAAAGAACTTCAACACAGAATAATATTTAAAAAATTAATTTTAAATACATTTACAAAATTGATTTTCAAATAAAAGTAATCACAACAAAATATAGTATATTTAGAATGTATTATAGTTAAACTAATTTTGTAAAAGACTTTCCTTTGTCATTAGAACAAAAAAAATGGAAGGTGATCCACTAAGACTTGTAACCAAAGAGCATGATTTAAGGAATGTAAAAGTCATGCAAGCTTTGGAATGTTTGCNATTTTAAATACATTTACAAAATTGATTTTCAAATAAAAGTAATCACAACAAAATATAGTATATTTAGAATGTATTATAGTTAAACTAATTTTGTAAAAGACTTTCCTTTGTCATTAGAACAAAAAAAATGGAAGGTGATCCACTAAGACTTGTAACCAAAGAGCATGATTTAAGGAATGTAAAAGTCATGCAAGCTTTGGAATGTTTGCCTATGTCTGATGACGACAGTGTCAGGGCCACTAGCGCATTCAGTGTTCGAGACAGCCTCAAAACTGATGATGAAGAGCAAGCATATCCCATTTCAGTAGCCAATGCAAAGCTTTTACGACATGAATATAATGTAATGAACAACAGTAATCTCCTTGTTTGTAATCTAGAAAACAATATGGCACAGCTAATGGCTTGTAATAAAAAACAGATAGAATTAAATACAAAGAAAATGGAGAAAATAGATGAAGAAAAACATATAACAGAAAAATCAGAAGAATCTAAAGCGGATGCAGTCAAATGTGTTGAGGATGAACAGGTTGCTGAATTTAAACAGAAATCTAAAACAACAGATACTGCCTCACACAGTTTAGAGAATCCTAAAAGTTCAACAAAATGCAGCAGTGATATTAGTTGCAAGTCTGGATTAAGCAAAAGTGTACCACCTTCATATAAGCAGAAAATATTACAGTTCTCTAGGGATAAACTAAGGTTTGGTAGTGGCGGGAATAAACTGACAAGAAGCATTAAAAGATCGTTTAGTATTCGAAGTTGGGATAAAAAAAGTGATAGTCAGAGAAGAATCAGTGAACCAACTGTGGAAATACCAAGTATTATTAGTGCTGAAGAAGAAAAACATTCAAAGGAAGAAAAGGATGAGGATGTTGAGAAGTGTGAGGTAATTGAAGATATACCGAATGATCGAGATGTTGCAGATAATGATAGAATTCTTAAAGTCGAAGAGAATAACAAACCAGTTGGTAAATATATTAAATTTAAAAAAATGTTTAAATTTGATGTGTTAAAGTAATATTCATAAATTTTAATACCAAAGTGTAAATTTTTTATAATGGTACTTAAAATTTCAGAGCAGGAACCATCAAGCATTGAACTAGAAGAATGGGAGGCTTTCTTGAATTCAAATATCAGTGAAGTTATGGACGGCGATGTCGAATCTTTGACTCAGTTGAATATGGTATATTTATCAAATAATATTGTGGATTGTGTTGGATTCTTCATAGTTTTAATGATTTAATGAATTTCAATATTTTTTTCCTTTTTTTTCTTTACGATTGAAGGATTACTGGTGGCCCGGAGGCCTTTCCAGTTTTACCAGGACAGGTGGGCGAATCCAGAGGGAATTTTTAATTATATCAACCATATTATGCAATGCATATTGCCGCAAATCAGTGGCTGACAGAATGCACAACCAAAGCCAATGAAACAAGAAAATATTTGTTTCCTCTAAACATAATGCATGTTGCCGTAAATGCCGTAGACCTATTTAAAAGTGCTTTTACATTATTTCTCATGTTTGGAATACTTCACAGTTTTCGTAGTCACCGACGATTCTATATATAAAATAAATAAGAATTATAAATAAAAATTAATCATAAATAAATTATTTGAAACATCGATAATATTATGATATGAACCGTAATTTTTTTTAATTGCTTTTGGATTTACGAGCTCACGGTCCACCTGGTGTTAAGTGGCCCATGGACATCTACAACGTAAATGCCGCCACTCACCTTGCGACATGAGTTGTAAGGTCTCCGTTTTAACAGTACAACGGCTGCCTCACCCTTCGAACCGAAACGCATTACTGCTTCACGGCAGAAATAGGCATAGTTTGTATTAAGTTCCGTTACCTGTTTGCAGGTGAGTATGGTGGTCGGTGTGGTGGGCAATGCAGCGCGCGGTGCGGGGGGCGGCCGGGTCTGCGGGGCTGTGGCTGCGCTACTGGCGTTGCCCGCTCTGGTGCACACCCTGCCGAGACACACGCTACTCAATATACAAGATGTTAGTATTTTTTGTATTCTATAATAAATAAATATGAAAATGCTAGGAATTAAACAAAAATAACAATTTTGTTTTTCCTTTGATGTGTCCCCCTTTTGTTTGTTTTATGTTTATTTCATTCAAAAGTTTAGGTCTTTTATTTATCGATTGAGGCACTACGAAGTCTGCCGGGTCAGCTAGTACCAAATAAAACTCACCTTTAATTACAAAGATAAATGTAGAGTACCTACTACGCGAAATGTCTCTTAAATTAAATAGCCTTACACTCCACGATATAATAAATGAAATCGTTTTTCAAATGGGCGACTTTTATTCACCAGGTATATTTGGAGGCGAAAGTGCCTTATAATTTCGTAGCAGCTATAAACACATTAATGGAAAACAGTGAGGACAATGACGATGGAGCAGAGGATAGGTAAATATTACCCTTTTTAACTTGTAAAAGGTTTGCTTATAATCTGCTTAAACTAGATTTGCCATTCCTAACAAGTACCACAATTTTCGCATTTAAAATTGTATTTTTTTTTATTCACAGATTACAAGGTGTTAGCCGTATGGTTGAAGTGTGTGCGTGGCTGTGCGTTCGTTCCTGCAGAGGAGTGAGACAGTTTGCCACTGCCCTAAGTGCCTACAACGCGTATCCGGTGTTCACTAAACTGCTTAAGCTTGGTAAGAGCGCCATTCTAATAACATTAATAATAATATTGTTATTGACCGCGACTTGGATGTTAGTACAAATTGAGAACTACGTTAGAATATTTAGAGCTATAATTGCACTGCAGCGATTCACGTAGCTGCAGTCCAGACGGCAATCGTGTTTAGGATGCGATGAAAACCACCCCGCCCATTGTACAATTATACCTGCTTGTTGACTGTTTTACAATGTTAAATATGTTTTGATGTGCAATAAAGTACACTTTTCTCTCTCTCTCTCTCTCTTTCTTCTTCTGCGCGCGCGTAGGCACGCACGCACGCACGCACGCACGCACGCACGCACGCACTCACTCACTCACTCACTCACTCACTCACTCACTCACTCACTAACTCACTCATTCACTCACTCACTCACTCACGCACGCACTGGATTGGACAATAAATAATTATTCCAATGTTCTCATCTGAAACCCAAATTTTAAAGCTAAATTCCAAAACTAAATTCCTATACTGGAAAAGGGATAGAGAACCCTCTCAATAATCACTAAATCACCAACCATCAAACGAATTTTTTATCTAAATCTTACATTTTATATTATGAATATAACTTAAAGTGAGAGTTTAAAAATACGTTCTCATTAAAATAAGTAAAGCGTATAATTCTTAATATTTCGTTACAGACACGAGAAATCCCAGGATAGTCCTGAACATAGTCGGTCTCCTGATCACCATACTGCAGGACCTACCGGAACTAGCTGACGTTGTCGAAAGGATACTATTCGAGGACAAGAGTTTTAATTTCATAAATCTACTCGAACAGCCAAACGACGCATTGAGAATGAGAGTTTGTATACTGATAAGTCTACTTTGCACCTTCTCGTGTACCGCTTTTTCTGCAGCAATGGAATCGAAATGGAGTAAGAAGGAGAGCGATAGTTTGGAAGCGCTCCACGGTCATTGTAACGTTACTCTGAACAGAGCCGCAAGACTGGCCACTAAGGAGCTGAGTAATATGCCTTTTTATTCTAATTAATCGAGGAAAGATTGAAATTTTATTGGAAAATTTCATGGTAAATTGCGTAAAATGAATCGTACTTTGAGCAAAATGTTATATTATTATGCCGTTGGATGGAACGATGTAGAAATAATTTGAGATAATCGACTTATCTTTGTTTCCTACATAGACGAGAGATCCTATCTAGTGTTTAGCTGATACTAGTGGCTATATTATTGTTGGATTGTTTACTCTTTGGAGGGCGAATAGACTAGAGATCGTTTGGAACCTCTGGGTCTGCGGAGGGACTTCGGTTCCCTCTGTATTTTGTATAGTATGTTGCATGGGGAGTGCTCTTGAATTGTTCGAGATGATACCGGCATGTCGTTTTTACCATCGCACCGTCCGCCACCGGAGTAGAGTTCATCCATACTACCTGGAGCCACTGCGGTCATCCACAGTGCGTTTCCAGAGGTCTTTTTTGCCACGCACCATCCGGCTATGGAATGAGCTCCCCTCCACGGTGTTTCCCGAGCGCTATGACATGTCCTTCTATAAACGAGGTATGTGGAGAGTATTAAACGGTAGGCAGCGGCTTGGCTCTGCCCCTGGCATTGCTGAAGTCCATGGGCGACGGTAACCACTCACCATCAGGTGGGTCGTATGCTCGTCTGCCTACATGGGCAATAAAAAAAAATGTATAATATATTTGAGATATACAATATACTTCGGTATCATGTCACAGGATGCTTGGCGGCGATCAATTTGTGATTTATTAGGGGTCCGCTAACAACATATCATAAGGTGCGCTGTCAACTCTATCATTCATCCATAAATAGAAAAGTTAAAACTGTGCTTGTTATAGCTAAAAAAGATCAAATAAGCAGATTATTAAACTGTAAACTTGTAAATAGAAATAAATAAACGTATGAAATAAATTTTCAATAAGCCCATATATATTGACAAGTACTTATCGGATTAAAAGACGTAATATATTTTTTTTATTAAAAATCTTAATACTCACTGCCATTTTAAATAAAGACTGATGTTTAATTCCATTTATATTTTGTGAGCAATAAGGAATTGCAAATATTTACATTATTCTTGATGTTTCTGATTATATATTTAATCATTCATGATTATGATTAACTCCAAATATTTTACTTTTTCTATAACCCGTCTAAAAAAAATAGCCTGAACGCGATTCGACTTCGTGATGTCATATAGACCCAAAATACACGACAAAATAACAGAAGATCATACACATCGATTTTATCATAAATTGTCTTGATGATTTGAAATCTGACATAGTCGTCGCATTCAGGCCACGATTTCAAAGAAATATTCCGCTGTAATCCGTTGTAATCAATTCTACTAAAATAAGATTAAAATGATAAACGAAAATAAAATTTATAAATGAACAGATTTTTTACACCCTGTATATTTATTACTAAAATGAAATCGCAACTAATTGTAATCAGAAAATATAAGTAAATATATCAACTATAATACATCGAATATTAAATTTAAAACTTGTTTTTTTTTCAACCCAAATTATAATTTTTTTGTAGAAAGACAGCTGATCTCACGGCTCATCTTCAGATATGAAGTAGATATATTAATTGTACTTTAAATAATAAGGACTGTCCTGCACGTTCAAACAGCAACGTAATGAATGGTTCATAGCAGAAATAGGTACGAATATGCTCTCCTAACCATACAAGTTTACAATGTGTACATTGTAAACTTGTATGTACAGTACAGTACAACGTGCATCAGTAAAAAAAAAATAATTATTACTTAGATGGGTGGACGAGCTCAGAGCCCACCTGGTGTTAAGTGGTTACTGGAGCCCATATACAACTACAACGAAAATTCGCCACCCACCTTGAGATATAAGTTCTAAGGTCTCAGTATAGTTACAACGGCCGCTCCACCCTTCAAACCGAAACGCATTACTGCTTCACGGCAGAAATAGGCAGGGCGGTCCCAGGACTCCCAAGAGGTACTACCACCAGTAAAAAAATCACTGACTTGCTTTCTACCTATTGCTTAAAAAACGATACGCTCTTAATGGGATTTTGAAATTAGCGACTCTGGAATTAGATATTGCAAGTTGAGATAGTTGTATACTTCCAAATGATTTCTATAGCAACAACGAGAACCCTAAATAATTCAGCGCCTGTCTTTATGTTGCAGCAATGTTACTCGGAGATAAATTATCTTCTATCTAATATATAAAATTCTCGTGTCACAGTTTTCGTTGCCATACTCCTCCGAAACGGCTTGACCGATTTTGATGAAATTTTTTGTGCTTATCCGGTATCTATGAGAATCGGCCAACATCTATTTTTCATCCCCCTAAATGTTAGGGGTAGTCCACCCCTAAATGTTTTTTTATATTTTTCAGACAAAATTTTTAATTTCTATTTTTTTATGATACAACATACAAAAATACATACAACCCTAAATTTTCACCCCTCTACGATCAACCCGTATTTTTTATTTGTTAATTATAAACTTTAATTTTTTTGGTAAGATTTTCATTTTTATTTTGTCATGAATTAAAATAAAAAATCTGATGTTACTCTCAATTTTTCATCCCTCTATGATCAACCTCTATTTTTTATTTGTTAATTATAAACTTTAATTTTTCTGGCAAGTTTTTTATTTTGTTTTGTCATGACTTAAAATAAAAAAAAACATATTACTCTCAATTTTCACTCTTATAAGATCAACCCCTACTTTTCCATCCCGATTAATATTTTTTTTATTTTATGCACAGATCTGCAATAAGGTTGTAAGATGGCATTCAAATATTATAATTGTAGTACGATAAATTCTTATTCAGAGTTTATAATTTCAAGTTCCTTTAATTATGATTTTTTTTAAATTGAATTTGATCTCCCGCCCTCGCCGGTCGATTACTGATCAACTATCAATCGATCAGCTATCCCCGCCAGGTGTCACCACTCATCCAGCAAACATCAGGTAGTAGGGATGAGGACGAAGTCGGTCTCCTGTCTTACTTACTCACTATACATCATAGATTATACACTTAATATATTTGAGTGCTATACAACACTATACATTTTTCAGCCATGTTTTTTTGGTTTTATTTGTGTATCAATAGTATGTTCAGTAGGTCTGAGAATCGGCTACTATCTATTTATCATACCCCTAAGTGAAAAGGGTTGTCCACCCCAAACATTTATTTTTTATTTTAATTTTTTGCATATATTTTTTTTGTTTTTAAATTGGTATTATGTTTTTATTTTTTATTGCTTAGATGAGTGGACGAGCTCACAGCCCACCTGGTGTTAAGTGGTTACTGGAGCCCATAGAAATCTACAACGTAAATGCGCCACCCACCTTGAGATATAAGTTCTAAGGTCTCAATTATAGTTACAACGGCTGCCCCACCCTTCAAACCGAAACGCATTACTGCTTCACGGCAGAAATAGGCAGGGTGGTGGTACCTACCCGTGCGGACTCACAAGAGGTCCTACCACCAGTAATTACGCAAATTATAATTTTGCGGGTTTTATTTTTATTACACGATGTTATTACTTCGACGTGGAAGTCAATCGTGAACATTTGTTGAGTACGTGTTTCATTAGAAAAATTGGTACCCGCCTGCGGGATTTGAGCACCGGTGCATCGCTTCAACACGAATGCACCGGACGTCTTATCCTTTAGGCCACGACGACTTCAAAACACTTTATGTGGTTAAATGAGGCTTTTTTTTCTACAGTAGAATTTCCCTAGAAATCTTATTTAAGGCAACACAACGTTTGCCGGGTCAGCTAGTATATATATAAAAATTAATTGCTGTTCGTTAATCTCGCTAAAACTCGACAACGGCTGGACTGATTTGGCTAATTTTGATCTTGAATTATTTGTGGAAGTCCAGAGAAGGTTTAAAAAGTAGATAAACATGAAAATGCTGGGAATTAATTAAAAATAACAATTTTGTTTTTTCTTTGAAGTGTTCCCCGTCGGACGCATTCCTTTTGTTTGTTTTAAGTCTATTTTATACAATAGTTTAGGTCTTTTATTTATCGATTAAGGCACTACGAAGTCTGCCGGGTCAGCTAGTAATCAATAGATAGTATGAAACTGCAACTCGGTGTGTTTGTACGCTAAAGAAAAGTAATGAAAACAGAAGGAGGGTAACCAATGAAGAGTAATATCACATATATATCAGCGATTTTTGTAATAATTTTCTGTTTGTTTGTTGGTTTTTGTACGTGCCCTTCTCTAGAACTATTAAACGGATTTTCATGTACTTTTCACAGAGATATATGTTTTAATTTGGAGTAGAATATGGCCTTGATTTAATCAAAATTCGATGTTGCTACAAAAGTGAGATTCATTTAAAGATTTTTAGAATCTACTCTTACAACAGCTTTTTACTGCCTTAATAAATAGGTAGAATGTACTGGTGTTTGATCACCATTGATGATGGACATCAGAATGACAGAGGTACTACTAAGTAATATGTAATTTACCGCTTTTAGATATTTTGTATCAAATAATATTATTTTATTCGAATGTAACTTGATCTACTACGTTTTCGTGGTCAAACACAACTGAAACATTTTTAATGAAATTTGGAAACATGTATTCAGAGTAATAGTTTGAATAATGGGGAAAAAGCAACTCTTTATCTCGAGTAAGTGCATCGTTCTTCATTTTTTCTGAATTACAAATTCGACGCGGGAGAAACCACGGGACGCGTCTAGTATTTTATAAAATCTTAATATAGCTGATTATGGCTGTGGAATACGTTTATTGATACCAAGTTAACTGTCAATGATAGTAATCCCTTTTTAATCAATTTAAAAAGAAGGAATATGTTTTTATTTAGTTTTATTATGTTTATAAAACGAAATTACTGCTGGATGTATTTATTGAGTTTGCTTTTTTTTATTGCTTAGATGGGTGGACGAGCTGACGGCCCACCTGATGTTAAGTGGTTATCGGAGCCCATAGACATGTACAACGTAAATGCCGCCGCCCACCTTGAGATATGAGTTCTAAGGTCTCAGTATAGTTACAACGGCTGTCCCACCCTTCAACCGTAGCGCATTACTGCTTTACGGCAGAAATAGGCAGGGTGGTGGTACCTACCCGTGCGGAATCACAAGAGGTCCTACCACCAGTTATTACGCAAATTATAATTTTGCGGGTTTGATTTTTATTACACGATGTTATTCTTTCACCGTGGAAGTCAATCGTTTGTTAAGTACGTATTTAGAGTTAGAAAAATTAGTACCCGCCAGCGGGATTCGAACACCGGTGCATCGCCAGATACGAATGCACCGAACGTCTTATCCTTTAAGCCACGACGGCTTTTGTACATGCTGTTTTATAGATG